ACCCGAATATCAGCCGAGGTGCCTAATTTTACCACAAAAACTGCATTAAAAATTTGCTGAAAAAACTCAGCTTATACATGAGTGTATATGGTAATTGCGGCTCTTCTTTCAGTATATGTGGGGGAAAGGCCCCCACAACTAATCATGGATTCGATAGGCGCAATTGTACAGTTAATATAACTTATAATAAAGTCATCGAGAGCATGAGAGATAGAGGAGAGATTGAAATAATGGAGTCAGACACATTTCATGGTAGCATGCTTACCTCAGCACTGCTTGGTGGTCCATGTGGAGAGAGGGGGAGGGAGGACAAGGGGAGCAGGACAGGAGAGGAGGGGGGAACCAAGGAGAGGTCAAGGGGGGAGCCGAGAGCTCTTTATTGGTAACCCAGGCCTATATACCTTTGGGGGAGTGCAAGCCCCTAATTACAGGTAAGTCACAGGAAGGGGCTGCACTATAGGTTATACAGCAATGAGATGGGGACAATCTAGGGATATACACAATAGGAAGAGGAGGGATTGGGGCTATACATGTGACAAGAAGGGTGGATCCTAGATTTAGAATGGCAGCCTAACTTACAAACCATTATCAGTAGGGTGTAAACCCCAGCTGCAGGAACCAAGCTAATGGTCACAAGCCTTTAGGGAGAAGTAGACCATTGTCCTTACCAGCAGGGAGTGGGGCCTACCTGTCTTGGGACCAGATAGTAGTCTGGCAACTGACTGCCTTCAGGTAGGATGTCTTTAAGCATCTGACCTCCCACCATATGCTGGCAAAAAGCCTCTAATGTTTGGCATGTCTTTGGGGAAGACAAAGCTGGGAAAAAGTCTCTTCATAATCCCACATGTATGCACTGTCATCTCCTCAGGAGATGTGTGGTGAGAGGAAACCCATGCTTGCCTTGGCCACTTTCCATGGCTGCATGCCTCATTTGATGGAGAACTTGCTAGTAGATTTTATTGTTTTAAAAAATAATATGCAGCGTAAATTTTGCCATCCTAGACTATTTAGGATGGAATGTCCACTGGAATGTTTCAACAAGCTGATGAAGCACTTACTTATCTATGCCAGGAAATTTGGAAGATAGCTAGTTGGCCAACAGACCTGGAAGAGATCCATGTTTGTGCCCATTCCAAAGAAAGGTGACCCAACGGAATGCTCACATTATAGAATAATATCATTGATATCACATACAAATAAAATTTTGCTGAAGATCATCCAACAACGGTTGCAGCAGTACATTGACAGGGAGCTGCCAGAGGATCAGGCTGAATTCAGAAGAGAAGATGGAATAAGGGATATTATTACTGATGGCAGATGAATCTTGGCTGAAAGCAGAGAATAGCAGAAAGGTGTTTACTTGTGTTTTATTGACTGTGCCACGGCATTTGACTATGTGGATCATAATAAACTATGGATCATAACAAACTATGGATAATTTGAGAAGAATGGCAATTCTAGAACACTTCATTGTGCTCATTCGGAACCTGTACATGGATCAAGAGGCAGTTGTGTGAATGGAACAAGGGAAAACTGCATGGTTTAAAATCAGGAAATGTGTGCAAGGTTGAATCTTCTCACCATACTTATTCAATCTGTGTGCTGAGCAAATCATCAGAGAAGCTGGATTCTATGAAGAGGGATGTGGCATTAGCATTGGAGGAAGGCTTATTAACAACTGGCGATATGCAGATGACACAACCTTGCTTTCTGAGAGCAAGGAGGAATTTATGAACTTGCTGATAAAGATCAAGTATTGCCACCTTCTGTAAGCCAGGAACTTATATCTTAATGTAAAGAAGACTAAAATCCTCACGACTGGACCAATAGGTAACATCATGATAAGTGGAGAAGAGTTGAAGTTGTGAAGGGTTTTTTCTTGTTTGGATCCACAATCAGTGCTCATGGAAGCCGCAGTCAAGAGACCAAAAGATGGAGTATTGGATATTGGTACTGATCAGACAGTAGGCCCAGAGTAGTGAGTCTGTGCTGTCCTCCGTGCACAGCAGTGCCAGGTAGGAGCCTGGCTGGAGCAAAGGGTGAAGGACAAGTTTACAAACCACGTGGAGGTTGAGAAGAGTCAAGACAGGCTTTTCTGCTGCCCCGAAACCCCTGGGATTTGAAACCAAGAGGAGAGGTCAGAGAAGTTGGTGGGATCCACAGGGGTGGGTTGAGCTGGCTTCTGAAGTTCCCAGAGTAAGCTATTGCGTGAGTTCTCCATCTTTGTTTTTTTCTTTAAAGCATTTCTGAGTTAGGTGATCCTGGGAGTTTTCTCTCATACAACAAATCCACTGGTAGCAAAACTCCTGCCCCTCTTGCCTTGTGTGTTCTCCTGTACCCTCAAACCCAAGAGCCCAAACCCATTTGCTATCAAGGAGATTCCATCTCATAGTGACCCTGTGGGGCAGAGTAGAATTGCCCATAGAGTTTCCAAGGCTGTAATATTTATGGACAAGATGGCCACATCTTCTGCTCATTCGAGCATCTGGGAGGTTCACACTGCTGGCATTTTGGTGAGCAGATAGGTCACCAAGGCGCCTTCTTCCCCCACCCCCCCCATCCCAAACCACTAAATAACGCACCAGCAGAAACCCCAGGGGTTGACCCTGCCTCTGGTGTGTGCCCAGCAGTAGCTGTGGTGGGATACAGACCTGCTAATTGCCCCCATGCTGAACATCTGATTGCCTTCCTTAAGGCCCTCCTCTTCTCCCCAGCACTTTGTTGACCTTGGTTCCCTACAGGCTGTGAACTTCAGCTCTCAAAGCACAGCCAGCCCCTCAGAGCAGCTGCTGGAAAGCCACCCCAGGGAGGTTGTTTGGCCCTGGGTCCCATGGTGGACAGAGCCGAGCAGATCCTGTGCAAACCAGGAGTGCCGAAGTCATTTGGGGACGTGTTTTAGATGCCGAGTTAAGCACTGCACAAACATAAATGAGAGTTTGTACGCAGCCTCTGCAGGGAAGAAGTCTGTAGGAGATCCTCTGCCGTAACTGGGCTGACTCACATTCTGCCCTCGGTCCCTGATAACAGTCCCTGATCAGGATTTCCCAAAGTGGGAGATACACCCCCTGGGGGGCACTAGACAGATACCTATACTATAGCCTGGATTATGGGCTATAGTACAGAAGTTTTTAATTGCTGGGGAGCGGAGGGGTGATCCAAGTAATTCTTTTTTTTTTTTGCCCCCCTGAAAAGGAGACCAAAGAAAACAAACCCAAATCCACCACCATCGAGCTGATGGCAACTCATAGCAACCCTATAGCACAGATCGGAACTGCCTGTGTGAGTCTCTAAGACTGTAACTTTTTATGGGTGTAGAAAAGACAGTCTTTCTTCTGTGGAGTGACTAGTGGTTTTGAACTTCTGACCTTGCAGTTAAGCAGCCCCATGCTTAACCAGTACACCATCAGGGCTTCTGAGCAGGGGACAGTTTGGGAACCACTGCTGTAGATGATGCCATCCGCTCCGGGCATTCTCTCTTGCTCTGTGTTGTGCCCTTTCTTGACACCTTCACTCTGATGGCCCCAACTCTTGGGTGTTTAAAGAAACCAGCTTCCCAAACACTTTTGAGGTTTTCCTTTGGAACCGCATCGTGTGTACGTGAAAGACTCCTGTCCGTGACTTGGTGACATAAGATACTGCAAAGGATCCCAGGGTGTTGGCACTCATGATGGTTGCATTTTATAGTCAGTATTAGTATTTGGTGCTGATTCTCCAGTTATCATCCACATGTACTTTTCCTGGCTTGTCTTTCTTCCTTTTAATTCCATCTTATCTGGTCCCCAACGGAGCCCTGGGGTTATGCATTTGCCTTCTAACCAGTCCATCAGTGGTTCAAACCACTCACCCACGTTGTGGGGAAAACTGGCAGTCTGCCCCTATAAAGAACACAGCCTTGGAAACCCTCTGGGGCCAGTTCTACCCTGGGCAGGGCTGCTCTGAAGGGCAGTTGCCTGGCTGGCAAGAGGCATGGGATTTGTATTTTAGTCACCAAGCTCTGCAGTGTGTGGGCTCCCAGGCTGCTTTTCCTCTGTGACTGAGTCCATCCTGATGGGTTCTGGTCATTACACCTGCTTCCCCCCAAGTGGGACATTGTTCTCGTCTAGCATTGTTTTCAGCTATTTCAAGAACCACTTGTGCAGCATATTAAAGTCTAGAAGGTTAAGTACAATGCTGAATGCCGTAGGATACCAACTGCCAAGTTGGTTTAAGACCGTCGTTGGGGTGTTGACTTTGACTCCTGGTGACCCGTGTGTGCAAGTAGACCTGTGCGCAGCAGGTTCCCCGGCGGTTGGTCTGTGAAAGCAGAGGGCCAGCTCTTTTCCTGAGGCACTCTGCTTAGCAGCTCACTGTGCGGTTAGTGGCTCCTTTGCACCACCTAGGGACCCCTGCCTGAATTTTGGAGCAGGAAAACTCGATTTATAGACAACTCCCCTGACTTGCCACCACCAGCCCCCTTGGCTGTTGTCAGTATTTCTGTGAGACAATTTTTGTCTTTCCCTTTGTTCTCTTGTACGGTTTAGTTAATTTGACACTCCTTTCTAGTCCTTGGCTTTCAGAGCCAGCAATATCCTTGTGTCTCTGTGATGGCTTTAATTTGATCTTGGTCCATGTCACTGATGTCCCAGTCAGATGGCTCTGTGCAGTGGCTATGAAGTCCCCTCTGCCGGTACAGGTGTGCTTGACGCAATGGATGTGTGTATGGACTGTGATAAGAACTGTATAAGCCCCCAATAAAATGAGTTACAAAGAAAGAAAAAAGTCCCCTCTGGCACTTGGTCCTGTGGCTGCACTGGTCGGTAGATGACAGTGCCGTCTTTTTTTTGCCACCTACAGAGAACTCTGAGTCGGGTGACTCAGGAGCAGAAGCAGTTGTCTGAGAAGCTGAAAGACGAGATTGAGCAGAAGGAGCAACTCAAGAGGATGAAGAACGAGATGGAGAATGAGCGATGGCACCTTGACAAGACCATCGAGAAACTTCAGAAGGAGGTAAGCGGGTGAACGAGGGAGAGGTGTCGGGGGTAACCTGTGTGGACGCGCACGCCCCCTTTGAGGGTCTGTAAGCAGCAAACTCCGAGGAGTGCATGTCAAAGGTTTCCAGATCCCTTGAAATGGCTCGTTGGATTGGTTGAGAATCCCAGATTCAGGGAACTTGGCCTAGAGAAAGTAAATGCTGGTACCCTCTGGATTTTGGGTCCAGCTCCATTCAGAAAAACTACGTAGTCAGCTGGTGTGTACGTGCAGACCGGACCGGTGCTTCTCCGAGCAGCATCTCAGCGGCTTTGCCTTGTGTAGGAGTCGGTGCCCTCTTTCTTATTCAGCGACTCGAAAGACCGTCGGAGAGCCCTGTAGTTGCTGCCCCCGCCTCATCTCAATTGACTGCAAGAGGAAAGGCTCACAGCGAGGGGCTCCCTGCCTTCTAGGAGATGACAATTGTGCCTGCCATTTTTCACATGGCAGTAAACGGTATGGGTGGGTGTGTGCGCACACGCGCAGTGGCGTATTTGACCTCCTTTGGCTCCTCTGTTGCCATCAGACAGGGCTCAGCCAGGCCTCCCTCCTCTCCCATTCTTTGCCATATCTGACACCAACCATCCTCCCACGACGCTCTACTTCTATGCTGGTGCAGCAATTGGTTGCAGTGGCCACTCAGAACTCACCAGCATGGTGGTTCATTAGGGAGGTTTATAGGTTACCATGAGTCAGGATCAGTAAGTAGGAAGGTTACAGTCATTGGTCCACAGTGATACCTCTCTTCAGCCAGCAGCCAAAGTCTCTCTCTGGCCTGCAGCTTCTTAGCCATGTGGGCCCTTGGCCTTTGCCTCCATAGCACAGGAAGCCAGCCTATCTCTCTCCCTAGAGCCCCATTGCCTCAGCGCTCTCCTCTTGCTGTGTCCTACCGTCTGCATGCATCATCTCTGGTGCCTCTGGTCTTGGCCGTCTCCACTTCAGACAGACCTGGGTCATACTCTCCCAATGGTCTTGGGAGTTTTCTGTCTTTGTCTGAGATGGCTCTTATATGCAGACAGATGACTTTGGGAGGTGTGCTTTTGTCTTTTAGCCAACCATGCGCCCAGGGAAGCAAAGGTATGACTTGGTTCACGCCTTCTGTGGAGGTCAAGACTTAATGCCACCTTCATCAGATCTCTCAGCATTGCCGAGAACTCCTTCAAAATGGGATGATAGCCACAGGTCTATAGTCCAGAATTAAATGACATACGGAAGTATGGCTATAAAGGCCATATTTAAGTAATCAACTACATTTCAGACACCTCTATTAATTAAATATGAGATCAAGATTCATTAACAATGACTGGTGACTAGAATTTGAAAGTTGCAAACAAAGAAGGTGACTTGGTGGTTGGCATACATAGCCCTGGAGATTAGAAAACACTTCAAAGATGGATAGGATATCGTAAGACCAATGACTTATTTACTGTAAGCACTATTTTTCAACAGCATAACTGGTCCCTGTACATGTGAACCTCAATGGATGGAGTATGCACGAATCAAATTGTCTATATCTGTGGAAAGAAATGATGGAGGTCAGAACAAGGTCAGGGGCAGGCTGTGGAACTGGCTGTCAGTTGCTTATATATGAGTTCAAGTTAAAACAAACTCATGAGAGCCAAGGTACAGTCTTGCGTGAATTTAGAGACCATTGCAAGAATAGATTTGATGCCTGGGACCCTGAAGACCAGAAGAATTGTGGGCTGCCATCAAGGGTATTATGCTCGACAAACAAACAATAAAGCACTAAAAAGAACAAAAAACCCACAGTAGATATCAGAAGAGACTCTGAAATTTACTTTTGAATGTAAAGTGACTAAAGTGAATGGAAATGACATAAAAGAGCTAGACAGAGAATTTCAAAAGATAGCTCAAGAAGAAAAATTATTATAATCAAGTGTGCAAAGACCTGGAGATGCGAAATCAAGCATTTCTCAAGATGAAAGAATTGAAGAAAAAAGTCAAGAATTCATATTGAAGGATTCTGCAAAATACTGAATGACTCAGGAAGTTCCGAAAGACGATGAGAGGTGTGTATAGAATCACTGCGCACAAAGAAGTGGTCGGCGGTGAACCGTTTGAAGCGGGAGGTAACATAGGGTCAAGAACTGATGGTCTGGACAGAAAAGGCCCACGCTACACTGACGCCTTTGGGGAAAAGCAAGGCGTCAGGAGTCGGCCGAATACCGATTGAGATTTGAGATAGTTCAGCCATTGGGTGCAGTGCCGAAACCCACTAGAAGAAATTCCAATTTGTGCCCATTTCTAAGAAAGGTGATTCAACAGAATGTGGACAGTATCGAAAATGACATTAGTACACTTAAAAGTAGTATTTTGCAGAAGCTAATTAAAAATGACTGCACCAGTACATCAAATTCAAGCCCATTTTAGAAGACGTAGAATAAGAGATCATTGCTGATGTCGGGTGAACCTTGGCTAAAAGCAGCCATGATGCTTTCCTGGGTTCTGTGCACTACGCACACGTACTTGACTGGGTGGATAACATCAGATCATGGGATAGCATTGAAAAGCATGGGAATTCTAGAACACCTCATTGTGCTCACGCAGAACCTGTACATAGCCTAAGAAGCCGTCCTTCTAACAGCAAGGGAGCATCCTGGGCAGTTTCACATCAGAAAAGATGTTAAACTGGTCGTTCTGTATGCTGAGCCAAACGCCTGAGAGACGGGACTCTGAAGAAGGCAGCATCAGGATTGGAGGAAGACTCATTAACAGCCTGTCACATGCAGACGACACACCTTTGCTTGCTGAAAGTAAAGAAGACAAGGCACTGGCTGATAAAGATGAAAGACTATATAGCTTACTGATGAAGATCAAAGATGGATTGAGGTGTGGACAACACCGCCACAGAAAGAAAACTAAAAATTTCACCCCCCAACCCTCAAAGCAATCATAAAGGGAGAAAAGATTGATGGTATCAAGGATGTCCTTTGACTTGGCTCCACCGTCAGCCTTCATTCACCCAGCAGTCAAGAACCCCAATGGAGGAATATGTCAGACAAATCTGCTGCAAAAGACCTCTTTGAAGTATGGAAAAGTGAAGATTTGAGGAGGCCTAAGATGTGCCTCACCCAATCCAGGATACCTCCGTTTGCCTCAGGTGCATGTGAAGCTGGACACTGAGCAAGGAGCACAAAGAGCCGATGCACTGCAGCTGGGGTTTGGCAAGAAAGTACATCAGGGACGGCCACAAAAACGAGCACACCTGTCTTGAAGAAGTACAGCCAGGCTGTTCCTTAAAGACGAAGATGGTAAGACGTCATCTCACTTTCTCTGGATGTGCTCCCAGGAAGGACTGGTCACTGGGGAGGAAGGACGGCATGCCTGGTAAAGGTAGAGCATCGCCAAAAAAGGAAAAAAAGGTGATGACTCTTTGTGAGCTGGATTGGTCCAGTGGCTGCAAGAATAGCCCCAAACACAGCACTGATTGTGAGGATGACGTAGGACCGCGCTGTGTTTCCTGCTGCTGCACATAGGGTGGACACCTAATGTGTACGGAGGTACGCCTAAGCAAAATTCTAGATGAAACTCTGGGATGTTTTAACTCTGACACCATCCCTACCAGGAAGATACTGTGATTTCAGTCTTTCTAATGAGGATGCTACTGAGATCCATGGATGCCCCAGTCGCATAGCCCCCAAAGAAAACCAAACCGAATCCTAAACTCTCCTCCATCAAGTCTAAACAGACTCAAAGCGACACTATCGGATAGAGTAGAACCACCTCTGTGGGTTTCTAAGATTGTGAATCTTCATGGGAGCTGAAAGCCTCATCTTTCTCCCGAGGAGCAGTTGATGATGTTGGACTGCTAGCCTTGAGGTTAGCAACCAGCATGGTACCCTTGATGCTACCACTCTGGAAGGTCGTAAGTAGAAAAGCAAAGCTAACTCGCCCCTGACTCTGTCTAGCTCCAGAGATGGTGATCTCTAGCCCTCCAGCCTCTGTCCAGGTGGAGGTGGTCAGAGGTAGCCAGCCGTGACCAGGTGTGCTGTACAATCTTTGGGAAGACTGTAGAAGACGGGGAGAGGAGGAGCTGTGTTCTGTGTTTAAATGGAGCCCCAACCCCCCCTCCCTGCCCCAGGTGGAGGATCCGAGAGTGGGCTCATGGCTGTACCACTTCTTCCAGATGGCCGACATTGTTGAAGCATCCCGCACGTCCACACTAGAGCTCCAGAACCAGCTGGACGAGTACAAGGAGAACAATCGCAGGGAGCTGACAGAAATGCAAAGGCAGTTGAAAGAGAAGACCCTGGAGGCCGAGAAGTCCCGGCTGACGGCCTTGAAAATGCAGGAGGAGGTAATGGCTTGGCCAGATAAGTGCTTGGGTTTCCTGAGAGCGTGCTTTCGGATTCCTTAGACACTCCCCTTTGAGGGACTGGATACTAGAGTCTCCAGATAGCTTTTGGTTAATTCATCACCCTTAAGACTCTGCGTGGTTCTACCGCAGGGTTGTCCTTCTAAGACACAGAGAGGCCCAGTGCACGCGGAAGGGCAATCGGCACAACTTTGGATTGACCATTTTCTTTGATTCGTCCAATATCTCCTGCCTAAAGAGGTTAGCCCCCAAAGAGAACGTTTGCCCCAAACCAAAGATAAATGGGAGGTCACAGGGAAGCTGGACCCATGGGAACAGGGAACCCAGGGAGAGGAGGGGCAGAGTGCTGGCGTGTTGTGGGGATTGCAACCAATGTTCTGGAATGATGTGTGTCAATTAGCGATGATTTGATAAAGCAGTGTGCTATGTAAACCTTCACTGAAATTCCAGTAAAATGCCCCCACCCCAAACGGTTTAGCTCCCATTTGGAGAGTCCAGCTGTGTCCAAAAGATTTATAGGCACTTAATGCTTTCATCTGAGAAGAGGGATTGAAGTAAACCAACTTCTGTTGCTGTTCATTTTTTACGAGAGACTTTTATGGGAGTGGGGAGTGGTGGCCAAAGAACTTCACAGTCACAGTAATGGGGACAAGGAGACTTCCTCAAGAAGTATGAATACTGGAAATCGTTGAAGCATAGCTGGGCTTTGTATTTGGGAATATTAGAGCAAACTAACTCAAATGTCGAAAACAAAGCAGAAAGCCCAGTTGCCATTGAGTTGGCGCTGGCCCCTGGTGAACCCACATGCATCTCAGCAGAACTGTGCCCAGGGGGGTTTAATGTCTGGCACTTTGGAAGTCGGCTGCCAGGTCTTTCTGCTGAGGGGCCTCTGAGTGGAGGGGACCCTGCGAAGCTTTTCATGAGTAGCTGAGCACAGTCACGGTGTGCACACTGCTGGAGACCATCCATGTAGCAGGACCCTTCCATCTTGACCCCTTACGGAATGCTTTGATGGCTTGAATGCAAAGCTGAAAGTTGTAAAGTGCAGCAGGTACAGTGCCTCGACGTCCAGGATTGCCTCTTACTAGCGAGGTGACCTTGAGCAGGTGATGCCAATTTTCTTCGCATCCATTTCTCCATCAAAGATACATGAAATGGGAATCATTTTTAAAACACACGCGATTATTTAGCAGAAAGTTTGTACATCTTGAGCACATAATGTGAGCTTACTTTCTTCAATTCCAAGGGTCATGTGCACGCACACACATTTTTCCCCCACCACGCAAACAGTGCCAAGAGCACTAAGATTCCACAGGAAAACAACTTTTCTTACAAAACAAACTTTTTATGTCTTTGATGATCAAAGCAAAGCCACCCATGAGGCAGTACTAAACCTGTCAGAAAGGACAATGGAGCGTTCCTGTGGGTTTCTGGAACACTTCTGAAAAGACCCTGATAACACATCCCTCTGACTCAGGGCCACAGGGGACAGCTGGAATTGGCACACTCATATCACAGTTCTCTTTGATATTAAAGAGAAAAAGTATTTCTGTTATCAAAGGCCTGGAAGGAGTCAGGTCTTTGCCAGATCACCAGTAAGCACATGGTCTTCTGTTTTGATTTTAAAAAGAAAATCACAGTGACCCCATGCAAAGTGCTTCTGGTATCATGCCACTATCCTAGAACCTGTGGACTGGAAGGGCCTTAGCCATCCTTTAGTTAAAGTCAGCTGAAGTCCAGAGGCTGCAAGGTGCCCCACAGGAGGCTGCTGAGAAAAGAGCCATAGTTTCCCAAAGGGTCTTCTTAATGAAAACAAAGATGGCTTTTCCTAGACTTTCTAGATTGTTCCCAGAGGCATCGCCCTGTAAGAAACAAGTTTCTCTTTGAATAGCACCCTTGGGCAAGCTGCGGAAACCGTGGCCAAGGTCTCTCTGGATCCCTGAGAAACTCACACTCAGCTGGTCACCACCCTGTGTTTGACTTCGCTGAATTAAAGAGCTTAGCCAATTTCCCCTATTTCCACCCCTCCCGCTCCCCCTCACCCCACCAAGCTATCAGGGTTCCATCCTAAGTCCTGTAGCGTTATTTTAATGAAAAGAAATAGACATTTTTAAGTTCCCAACTGGCCTCTCTAAAGTCTAACCTCTTGGGTCTCCAAAGAAAGACGAAAACTTTTCTGTGAAAATCACCCCCTAAAAGTGATCTCAGTGGACCTTGCCCTCCCTCCCTCCCTTCCATCTCGCCTCTGAAGGGGACTTCTCCCCGTGTTCCTCGAACTGTACTTCTGCCCACTACCTGACACCGTGTCTAGATGTCGCTCTGAGTAGCTCCCGCCAGCAGCTCCGACAGCAAACCCAGCAAGAGGGCGGAAAGACGGAGCAAAAGAGACATCCTTGGGTGTGGCTGAATCCGTGCACACGGGTGTTTAAGGACGACTGCCCACTGGGAGCCTGGCATGGCAGGGCTTCTGGGTAGATGCAAGAGGAATGGATCCAACTGTTCTCTGAGGCCCGTTCTTCAGAGCTGTTAGTGCAGTGCCACCTTGTGGATGAAAAACACCAGCACTTTAAATTGTGACGGGTTGCATTTTCTTCTCCAGAGCAGTGGCTTCCACCTACTGTGTATACTTCTGTTGTTTGGTTTCATGCCTGCAGGTTGCTTTAGGGCTATTGATGTAGTTTATCCCCTGAATTTTAAATGTCTTTTGATTTAAATGCTGATACAGACAGGCAGTAAATTTCTGGGAAGCCCACGTTTAGTTCATAGGCTTTCAAGTGTTTATTAGCCATCATCCTAGTAAGAAATACATTTATATTTTGGCTCAGTAATCTGTAAATCCATACAAATAATAGATGTTTCATAAATCAATATTTGCTTATATTCCTTTTCCCCCTGCTCTATTTAATAAAAAGGCTGGCCAACATATGTACTTAATAGAATTTAGAACCCAATGGATTGTAGCTTGCAGTTGGGAAACGTTGGATTTTTCCCCCCATTTTACAAAAGAAGAAACAGAGGCGGGGCTTGCTCGAGGTGTTCTGCTCCCTAGTTTGTGGAGGGGGCAAGGCTGGGGTCCACTTGATCATCTTTTTCTAGGGTCACCCCATAGACGCTCTGTTTGGATCTTACTCAGGAATCCACCTTTCTCACTGCAGATGCGCCTGCTGGAGGAGGCCTTGCGAGACCACCAGAGAGCCCAGGACGAAGCTGTCACGAAAAGGCAACTTCTGGAGCAGATGCTGAAGGACCTGGAGTATGAACTGGAGGCCAGGAGTCACCTCAAAGATGACCGCGGCAGGCTGGTCAAGCAGATGGAGGTTTGGGAACCAGCGAAGCGAGAGCCGGGAGCAGGGGAGGGCGGCTGGGGCCCTGTTTGGAGAGCGAGTCTGACAGGAGGGAATGACTTCTCCGCTCACCTCTGCCACCGGGAGTTTTCCAGTGGCTCTTTGTAGACTACGCTCTCAGACTTAACTGTGACACCCAGATGTTTGTAACAGCATCTCTCGATTGGGGAAGAAATGAGTAAGTTACAGACTCACTGGACATCAGAGCCCAAGAGGGGGGTGGAATTCATTTAGTCCAGTGTCTTCGTTTTCTTGAGAAGGAGACAGAGCTGAGTGCCAAGGAAGGTTAAACTCAAACTCATTGCCACCAAGTCGATGCCAACCCATAGCGACGCTATGAGACGGTAGAACAGCCCCTGTGGGTTTTTGAGACTATAATTGTTTATAGGAGTTGAAAATTCCATCTTTCTCCCTGGGGGTGGGGGCATGGTGGTTTTAAACTGCTGACCTTGTGGATCGTTGTCCAGTGTGTAACCATTATGCCACCAGGAGATTAGCTAACTTTAAACGAAGGCACTAGGTTGCTCCTGGTTGGTTTGTTGCTGTGGAGTTGCAGCCAGCCCCAAAGCAGACAACACTGCTGCACATCTATTGTTGTCATTGTTGTTAACTGCTTCTGGGTCAGCCCACCCTCAGGGTGCCCTCATGTACAGTGGAATGAAATGCTGCCTAGTTCTGTGCCTTCCCCGTGGTTGGGTGTGGGCCAGACTATTGTTGATGCCCCTATGGTTTTCACTGGCAGAGTTTTGGGAGTCAATTGGCAGACCTTTCTTCCTCTGCTGTCTCTTAATTAGGCTGGCAACTCCTGTGAAACATGGTCAGCATCCTAGCAACGCAAGGCTCCACAAACAGACAGGTGGTAGCTGCACATGGGGTCCCTGGGCTGGAAGTCGACCTTGGGTCTCCCACACGGAAGGCACAGACTCTCCCATTGAGTAACCAATGGCCGTGCTGTAGAGCTCGAGGGTGGAAGAGCTGTGCCTGGGGCCAAACTTCCCAACTCCTGGGTACACCAGTACCCACTTGGCACAGCACACGCACCATTCTTTTCCTGTTTCAGGTCCCTTTCTCTCTCAGAGATTATCTAGTTTTGCCAAAGCTGGTGGCAAATGATGGCCCCATGCATTTTCACAGGGACTGTATAATGTATATAATATATCAGGTGTTCAGTGGCGTCACTGGGAATCACCTATTGGCAAGATGAAGACACACGTTGGAACAAGGTTGAAGAAATACTGGTCAAACGAAGTAGGAACAGCCCATTGATAGTGATGGGAAGAACCTTTAATCAGTCCCCCTGAACTTTATAGAAATCCTCGCGAAATAAGCCAACTCAACAAAAGGAAGCCTGTGTACGTTCTCCCATCCCTCCCATATACAGTGAGACTGAGTACAAGAGAGTTTGGTATAAGTGCTCTCCCTAATGGAAGAGTGAAAACCAGTCACAGTTTTGATCAACGACAGTGCTTGCTGCGTAAGACCAAGGAGAGCGGGCTCGAATGTAAAGTCAATGGGACTCCTGCTTCAGCTCTGCAAATAAACAGCAATAACTTTTTAAAACCTCCAGGGGGCTTAGTTGAAGTTTATATCCAGGGAGCGATGTTGCAGCCAGGAGCAATTGTATTAGACGGGCCCCTTTTAGAGGCTAGAATACTCGGGTTGCCGCGTTCTTTTGCAGGGTTGCTATACATTTTGCAGTCTCTTCTGGTCATTTTAAGGGGGAGGGAATTGTAAGGCAAGCTAAGGTCAACCCAGTTAATGAGCACCTGCTTATTCTAGGGCTCAGACAACATGGTTCAAAGCAAGCTAAAAGCCTTCTCAGGCTCGGAGTTAAGAAGTCCGTGTCCTGGAAGCCACCCTGAACCCTCCTGCTGGCTTCCGTATGGTACAGTTTAGGCAGAGAGCAAGCCCTGGGAAGAGATGCCACTTGGTGCAGATTGCGTTCTTGGGCCTTTGAGAAAACGGACTAGAGACAGTGCCCTTTTGCTGACTTAGGCCCAAGAGCAGAGGCATGGCCGAGCTTCACGTACTTCTCTACAGTAGTCTAGTTGTTTCCCGCTAAAGACAAAAAGGAATCGCTCCTAAGCCCCGCGCCCATGAAGTACGCTTGCCGGCTGTTTCTTCCCCTGAGAGGGGCTCTGATGGCACAGTGGTTAAAGTGCTCGGTTGTGAGCCAAACAGAGGTTCAAACCCACTAGTGCTCTGGGAGAAAGATGAGGCAGCCTGGCCCCGCAGGGCAGCTTTCCTCTGTTCCCTGGGGTCTCTGTGGTTGGTGGTTGACTCAACGGCAGTGGCTGGGTCCTCCCACGGGAAGGCAGTGTGCGGCAGCCGCCTTGCTAACTGCCTTAGCTGACCCTTTATCAACACATACGTGCATTTCAGACGGACACGCTCTGTAAATGCACGCACTCAGGTGGCTGATGGTTGTACAAAGCTAGTCTGAGATGTGCTTTTATTAAAACTCAATGATGGTAAGCTAAGAGCCAGCAAGGAAGATGCCGTCAGAAATCTGTGATGATTGGTGTAGCAGCCTTGGCCCTTACTGTGTTAAAGGAACCCACAGGCACAGTGGCTGTGTTCCTGGCTGCTAACCATAGGTCAACAGTTCGAATCCACCAGCTGCTCCATGGGAGAAGAGACCTGGTGATCTGCTCCCATAAATATGACAGCCTAGGAAACCCTGTGGGGAATTTCTACTCTGTCCTGGAGGTTCACTGTGAATCAGCTCATGACCAACGACCACATCCCTGTGCTAACCTGATGTAGACTATAGGGCACAGGACATACGGGGTTCCCTGGAAGAAAGAGGCAGGGGCTTAAGACTGTACTCGGGCAAGCGGCAGGGCAAGCCTGAGCAGGAGGAGTTGCTCTGTAGAGAACCCGGCCGTGGACGAGATCTCACCCCACATTGGTCTTGTAACTGGTGACTACCTGGTTTCGGTAGTTGTGCTTACACTCTGGATTTCTAGCAGGGAAGAGATTCAAAGGGACATCTTTAATGTTTAGGTTAACGTTTGGGTAACACTTTTTCTTCTTTTGTATATGTCCTAAACCTGTGATATATATTATTATTTTACAGGATCTAAAGTCGTCAAAAATATACATTTTAAAGTATCTGCTTTGGGCAGCATAGGAAGGAGACGTATCCGCTTCCTAAGCCCTCTGATAGTCGGCTTTCTCTTGCTCCTGGGCTGTCTGTGCACAGGTCAGGCCTTGCTCCTCATCCGGGTCGTCACAAGTTATGTCTGTTTTTGACTTCTTTCTTAGGACAAAGTGTCTCAACTGGAAATGGAATTGGAAGAAGAAAGAAACAACTCGGATTTGCTGTCTGACAGGATCTCTCGGAGCAGAGAGCAGGTGAGCGCTAGAGTTGAACAATGGATGGATTGTCCCAAGGGAAACAGGAAGCGGGAGTGTTCAACCTGAGGCTTCATCCAGAGGAGGGAGAGAGTCTGCTGCATGGAAAATGATGGCTGACGGAGCAGCCTGCACCTTGGGCAGCCAGTGGGACAGGAGGTGTGAGAACTCAGAAAGACATCGTCCCTGAGCCACGAAGCCCAGATAAAATAACCCGGACCTTCACATTTGGACCCTCATAGGTTCTTTAACGACAAAACAGAGCTTCTTGGGAGTTCGGTGATGGTTTCCCGAGCAGACCGTCAGTTTCACATTCAGCAGGTCATCACGTCTTGTTTCCCGCCGCTCACTGCAGGCTGCTGGCTGCCCCTCACATAGACTCCCTGCCGCCTGCTTCCGCGCCTCTTCCTTCCCTAACCCTCTGGGCTTTGCCCCGGTAGAAATGCTGCCCTATGGGTTGTAAATGGCTGAAGGTAGGTTCCTATTGAGGTGTGCCCTTGTAACGTCACTCCCGGTATCAAGGCCATTGTGTTAGGAGTTCCTGCCAGTTTCGGTCAGAAGCCAAATTTCAGGATCTGCTCAGCATTTGCCATGAGAACAGAGGGCACCATGACTTGGTGTGTGCACGCCTCTTGTGACTTGTGCAAGAGGACTGATGGGAGAGCATGTCACCCTGCACACACCGACCAGGCAATTGGAACAGATTTTCAGCCCTCTGTTAAAGAAAAACAAATGGGGGTGGGGGGTGGGGCGGAGGGAAGCTCCTCCTGTGGCCCACCATGAAGAGAACTGATCACTTGGAGAGCTTGTCCCAGAATTGCACGGGGCCCCTCCTCTTCCCTCTCAAACAAGCATTGGGTCAAGGGCAGTAGAACTGTCCTCTGTGATGTGGACACGGTTGAAAATGTTTCCAGAGGCAAGCCTTGCGGTAAGCCCAGGGAAGAGGTCAAAGAAACTGGCTGTTCCCCTGGGAAGACCATGGCTGTCGGCCTGTAAAGGCCCCTGGGCCCACTTTAGGGAAGCCACAGCCTCTCTGAGTTCAGTACCTACAGTCTGTCAGCCTGACAACATTGCCGCAAGAATGTCTGGATTCTAATATTGAAATGGCGCCCGCCCTCGTGGTGTAGTGGTTGCTCACTGGGCTGGTACCCACAAGGTCAGCAGTTTGAAACCACTAGCTGCTCCTAAGGAGAGAGATAAGGCTGTCTACTCCTGTGATGTGTGACAGTCTGGGAAGCTCATAGGAGCAGTTCTGCCCTGTCCTGTGGCGTCGCTGTGAGTTGGCAGTGAGGTTTGACCTATCACAGATGATGAGCGCCACCTAACGCTCGTAGCGCCTCTTCACCTGCAAGCGGTTTCCCTTGTCTCACTCTTCCTTCCTAACTGATTGTCTGCATGCAGTGGGGAGGGAATAGAGACCTGGTGTTTCTGATGAGTGGCACAATTGAACATGGTGTTCAAGTTCTGAGGGGAACTGGTTCAAAACAAAACAAAACAAAACAATATGGCAAAATAAATCAGAAACAGAAGGGCTCGAGAAGAAAGGATGTCTCCTGATTGTGCCCTCAGGGCCCTCTCCCTTGCTGTCACCTGACTTGTGGGGAGCTAGAAGGATGGGTTGCTCCGATGCGTGTCTCACAGGAAAGCGTTTGATTCTCAGTGAAAGCTGTTGTGAAGCCATGGTTTATTGCCTGCCTTTTAAAACGAAGCCGCCCCTTTTCCAAGGAGAGGTCCCCGAGTATGGAGAGATGGGCCCTGCTTCTGAGGCTGGGAAGGACCTCCGAGTGGCTCTCCCTAGAAAGATGCCATCCCGTCCATGTCACAAGCTCCAAAGGTCAAATGCTCTTCTCGTTGTTTCCTCTTGAACCTTCTGTTCTAGATCCTCCTTGTGTAGCGTGTGGACAGGCTAAGTGACTGCGGGACACACAGCTTGTCAGAGGTGGAATCAAGATTGGGTCCAGCCTTCTCCTCCCACTCAACCCCATCAGTCTGTCCTGTACACTCTCTGCCATGGAGCTGACGCCGACTCAGTGATCCTACACAATCCTACAGGGGAGAACTGCCCTGTGGGTTTCGGGACACTCGCTCTTCACGGGAGTAGAAAGCCTTATCTTTCTCCGGTGGAGCAGCTGATGGTTTCCAACTGCTGACTTTGAGGTTAACAGCCCAACTCAGAATCCACCATGCCACCAGCGCGTTCGTTTATGGCCATTAGGGTCTTAAAGCCCCTGAGATGGAAAGTCATGCCATCATGTCTTCATATAGTGTAAGAATTTACGCCAACTGATTCTCTCTCGAGTCTCCTTCTGAGCACCAGGAGTCCGACTCGTGAAAGAAGGGCCCAGCTTAATGAGATTTTGGTCTGGCAGGCTGGCATTCAGACGTGCTGCTGCGGGCTAACCAGGGAGCCGAGCTTCCAGGGAGAGGCATGCTCTTGGCCGAGGAGGCCTGGTTGGTCCAGCCCAGTGGAAGATGAATCATTCAGCCCAGGCAGCTAGCCGGCAGGGGGATAAAATACCAGCGTGGGAAGCTTTGATCTTTCTAGGGGTGTAGTAAGGCTGCCTTGTTGCTTGGGCAGCTTTAGGATCAGTCCAAGTGGATAATCCCAGTGCCGTCTCCTGCAGCCACTGTCCGGGAACTTCTCCCCAGTGGTCAGCTCACACCTGCTCCTCAGCACCCTAGGGTGCAGCCCCGCAGTGAGACTGGAGAAAGTCTCCTTTGCAGTGAGAGGATCAAAGTGAATGTTTGCCTGCCTCCTCTTCCTCCGCTTCCTCCTTCCCCTAGTTTCAAAACGGCGTCACCTTTTATCAGCTACTCAAAAACCGTGAGACATAGGCGGTTAAGAAGAAGCTTCCTTTCTTGTGATTGGGAAACGTTCTTTGGAACCGCCAGCAGTATAAGCTCACTGACCCCAACAAGCCAACCATCAACACAGGTGATGGGTTAAACATTGTGATTAGCAACCCTACATATCGCTGCCTTGTCATGAGCCCGCTGGCAGCTGCCCAGGCCACGGGCATGAAACCCACTGGAATCCCTGACACTGGTATTTCTGATCGAAACGCTCGGTTGCACGTCCCTTCCGTCTAGCTGTGATAAGCTGTCGCCTTCAGCTCTCGTTCTCTTTTTAAGTTGACTGGAAGGTTTTTGCTCAGCCTGTTGAATGTAATAGGAGAATAAACAGCATGTAAAGCACTGGGCTCAGAAATGTTTCCCTAGCCTAGCCTATGCTTCCTTCCTTAGTCCAAGTCATGGCCATAGGCTTTTTGGAGGGGTGGGGGCACCTACTGTGGACTCTGGTAAAAAAAAATCTAAGTCGGGATATTCCCAAATCATTGGGTGCAGGCATCAGTGTATTTGGAGAATAGCTAAAAACGCCTGCACTGAGGATATTCTCGGGCTTGTCGTGAAGCTGTCTGTTTTGCATTTCACTGTGAAAGTATGCACAGCACAGCACAGGCCAGTTCCACATGTACACATACACATGTACTCAAGTGTGGGACCACCTTTAGGACGGGTTACCAGCAGGGATCATGTGTGGTAGAGTAGAAGGTCCGCGCGCGCGCACACACACATGAAAAAGAGGAAGACCATCCACCTGATGAACTGACAGTGACTGCAGAAGCTGGCTCACACATGGGACCGGTGACGAGGCTGACACAGGACCGCAGTGTCCTAGCCTGCTGTGCTAAGGTCGCTGTGCGCTGGGACTGACTCGGTAGCGTCTCACAGCAGCAGTACATCTGCTTGTTTCGTGGACGTCCCATCCTGGGGTCCTGGTCCTCTGGCAGCTGACTTGTTTCAGCGCAGTGTTGTCGGGGTTTGGCCAGGTTGGTTGTAGCATGCCTCGGAACGTCACTTCTCTTTCTGGCGACAGACAGGTTTGTGTGCACATCCCTGCCTGCACTTCTGGGATGTAGACCCAGGGTTGGGATTACGGGTTCCTAACAGTCTAGTAGTTCTACAGTCATCTTGTTGACACTGGTTTCCACCGTGGCTGTACCGTTTTCCATTCCAGAAATGGATGCGGGCTCCTAGCAGCCATCTTTCTTGACGGCAAGTTCACGGACCCTATTTGCTGTCTAAGCATCTACTTCAGTGGGTCTCAGCCTGAGGGTCGCAACCCATTTGGGGGGGTCGAAGGGCCCTGTCACAAGGGTTGCCCGATTCATAACTAGCAAAATTACAGTTAGGAAGTAGCAACAAAAGTAATTTTATAGTTGGTGGGGGGGGGTCACCACAACATAAGGAACTGTATTAAAGGGTCGCAGGATTAGGAAGGTTGAGAACCACTGCTCTGTTTGGTAGATTTGTAGATTAAAGTTAGTCAAGACTACCGTTGTTTTAAAATTATTTTTGTTAACTAAAACTTTCAACCTTTAGTATATATTGAGAAGCAAGAAGGCCATACTGTTTGCCTCTTATCTTGGCTTTCCAAAGTCTCAAAGAAAAATTGCTCCCTGGTCAGAGAGCTTTATGGCAGGGTAGTTATTACTCCTCTTTTTGGTCTAATTTATTCTGCTTTTCTATGTTAATAGCCTTCTTTTGAGAGGATGTGGTGTGGTGCAAGTCATGACTGGTGGATTTTGAGTCACCGTTTGCTCTCGGCTCTTGGTCCCGGGGAACTCTGAAAGCAGCAGTGGAGACTTTTCAGGGACCGGCCCTCCTGTGGCCCCTCCGCATGGGGAGGCCCAGGCCCCGGTGGGACCCAGACTTTCCAGGCAGTTGGACCGAGGGAGCGAGAGTTTGGCCGGAAGCTGCAGGCCGTGTGCTGACCGTGGGCCCCGCCACGTGGCCATCATCGGCTCCCTCCCTCCCTCTGGGATTGTTCCCTCCTTGAGAGAACTGGGTCCCGTGGACTTGGTGGAGAGGCAATGGGCAGGAGAAAGGAGACTGATTTTTCTCACTCAGCAGTTTCGCAGTTGCTTCCAACTCACTGTGTCTCTGCGGCACATTTCCTCAGGGTGGGAGGGGGCTGCCGTTTCTCAGCATTCCCCTTCTCCTCTCCCCCTGCCCAGAGTGCAGCAACACACGTCTCCACCCAACCCACTCCGACCCACTCCGGCAGGCGCTGTCCATCAACAAGACGCTGGCTCCGGCTCTGTAGGGTGTTTGTTTGCTGTTTTCCAGCCTCACAGGTCATAGCAACTACATTTCTGGAATTCGCTTCTCCCTGCTTCCTGTCCTCTCACTTTGGGGAACCCCATCTTCTGTGTCTCCTTCTCTCCCTCTCCTGAGGTATGGGAGCCCAGCTCAGGGAAAGAGGGTCTGTCCCCGATTCTCACACAGACCCCAGGGCCTCCGCCCATTCGCTCCCTGCTGCTGAAGGCTGGTCCCCCGCCGTGCTTCCTGTCATACCTCATTGGCCTCCCCTTATCCTTGGGGTGTTCATAGGCGTGTGCGTTTTGTCCTGCCAGACACAGACCCCTTCCGTGACTTCTCCTGTCCTCTGGTGGTGGCCCCCGTCTCCCCTGTTGGTGGTCCCTCCATTTGAGATGGTGGGCTTCTTACTGTAGCCCATCTGCTGCAAACCCAGCCTTTCAGGACTCAGTGTAGTGTCCCTCTCGGGGCTCGCGGCACTGCCAGCACACATCCCCGCACAGTGCCTGTCCCCACTAGGCTGTAACGAGAGCAGCTATGGTCGCCGTCCTGCTGTCATGGAGCCTGGCAGCGAGTTGATCCTCACGGCCGTCAAGTCACTTCTAACTCCCAGCATGCCTACAGGACAGAGTAGAACTAACTGCCCCTGTGGGTTTCTGAGACTGCGGCTATTTATGGGAGTAGAAAGCCAAGTCTTTCTCCTGAGGAGTGGCTGGTGGGTTCAAACTGCTGACCTTGTGGATAGCAGCCCAAATAGAACCACGACACCCGGAGGGCTCCAAAGAGTTGATCGTGTATTGTAAATGAACAAGCCCACCTCCTCCTCCAGGTCCCACAAATACACACTCCCCCCCACCTTGAGAAAGTGGATCATTTTGCGGTCTTGCCTTGATAAAGGGGGACACTTACAGATAAGGGCCCCTGGCTTCCACTGAAGGAGCCCGAGACAGCACTCAGAAGCCCGCGGTGCAGCAGAATGTGCCTCCCTGTTTCGTAGGCTGTCCCAGGGCCCCAGGAGGCTGGCCCATCCTGTTCCTTTTAGAAACCAGGAGACTGACCCGAGAAGTGAGGAGCCTGAGGTCACGGGCAAGTGAACAGCAGGGCCGGGAAGAGAACCCAGGCCACTGCTGCTTGTCTGTGGAATTGCTTCCCAGCCCAGTAAAATGTTAACCATGTTCCAGCTGAAGTCCCAGACCTCTGCCCTTGGGCTGTGAACAGAACGATTTCCCCCAGCAGGCATGTGTGCTGGCCCCATGGCCTGGCATGCAGGTGACCCGTGTACGTGGGATGCCGCCTGCCAGAAACCACGTTTGGAGCGGGGCTGTGAGCCCGCATTCATTACCTTCGGACGCTGTGTTCACACAGCAGTTACAGGACCTGGTCTGCGCCCTTTGTGACGTGATCAGCCAAGGCTCTGGGGCGAGGCCAAGTGATGAGAGCATTGGCCTTGGGCAAGGTTTTAGGAACTCTGATTGCTGACCCTGAGCATGGCTGGCATTTTATCCCCCAGTAAACAAGGATGCCTGAAGGAGACTGGCGCTCAAGTTCCTGTCGACCTGATTGCTGTATTTGAACCCTACGTGGTGGTCTCTCCACTTAGTTGGGCCCCAGAGATGGGGGCAGATGAAGTAGTGGGCCGTGAGTGAGGCTCAACCGGAGCCCCTCATGTTCCATGATACAGCGGTTCAGAGCCCCAGTCCCCTCTTCTGTAAAATTCTTAACGCACATGATTTAGAAGCGAACCAAAACCAAATTCTCACCGTAGAGTCAATTCTGGCTCACAGCAACCCTCCTGGATAGGTTAGAACTGCCCCTGTGTGTTTCTGAGACTTCTAACTGTTTGTGGGAGCACAGCGTCTCGTCTCTCTCTACAGGGTGACTGCTGACTTTTCCGTTTGTAGCACAGCTTGTCACTCACTGAGCCACCAGGGCTCTGGAGTGCTTCCTTCAACCACACAGTGGTTTGCAGGCAGAGTCCCAGCCCCCACCCTCCCTCTAGCTTCTGTACCATTCCCTGCTCGAGTCAGCCACATGGCACCATTCATGCCGAGACAGTGGCAATGAGGAACAAACAAGCCTGCACAATAGGATGGAAGGAGCCCTGGTGGTACAGTGGGTTCTGCACCGGGCTACTAATCACAGGGTCAGCAGTTTGAGACCACTGGCTGCATCAAGAGAGAAAGATGAGGCTTTCTACTCCTGTAAATATTTACTGTCTTGGAAACTCACAGGGACAGTTCGACGCTGTCCTGTCGCATAGCTAGGAGTTGGCAGTGAGTTTAGGGTTTGGTTTTCGGAAGATATGGTGCTGTATTCTTAGACCTGGGGTCTCCATGTGTGCTTTCTAGCACATGGGTAGGGAGTGTGTGAACTTTTAATAACTAGAGTGCGTGTACAGGCGCTTGTACAACTCGAGTGCACATGGAGGGCTGAGGCCTGCAAATGCTCCCAGACCCTGTGTGTTCTTAGGACTGCCAGGCTGAATTGCCACAAACAATGAACCAGAAACAAAGATGTTCTCGCACTGTTCCAGAGACCAGTAGTCTGCATTCGGTGAGCAGGGCAGTGCTCAGACCAGAGGCTCTGGGGGAAGATCTTTTCATGGCTCACGGCTCTGGTAGCCACAGGACCCCTGGCTTGTGGCCGCATCACCCCAGTCTCTTTCACTGCCCTCACTCGACTGTCTTTCCCATGTGTTTGTGTCTCTGTGTGTCCCTTCTCTTTTTATAAAGGCACCAGTCCTATTGGATTAGGGACCACCACATCTGTCTGACCTCACAATCACATCTCCAAAGACTCTGTTGCCAAGTAAGGTCCCCTTCTCTGGTAGGACCGTTAGGTCTTCAACATGTCTCTTGGGGATGATAACTTGCTGCACCGTGCCCTGGTTTCCCAGGACTCCGTATTGAACTTCCTACTCCGCGTGAACTCAGGTTGGCATGGGGCTCATTCTTAAGCAAGAAAGTGGAATTTTGTTGGAAGGGCTCTCTAGTTCTCTTGGCTTCTCCCTGCTGCCCTCTGCTGGACAGCAGCAGGAGTTCTGGGAGCAAGGAGTGCTGCTGACGCTCAGACAGGAAGCGGGAAAGGAGATGCCCACAGGTAAGTGGTGGGACTTTTTTCCCAGTGCTGCCCAGTCAGGCTTCCTTCCTGCTAGCACCGAAGAGTCTAGTCCTGTGGCCCTGGAGCGGATTCCAACTCAGGGCAACTCCCTGTGAGTCAGCGTAGGGCCGTACTCAATACATTAGGCAAGGGCTGCTTTTACAGAACAGGTTGCTCGGCCTTTCTTCTGACGTGCTTCTTGATGGACTCGTACCCCTGACCCTTCCTCTGGCAGCAGAGTGCCACCACCCACCTTCCCCTGAGCCTTGGGATCAGTAGGCTTCCTGAGCTTCCTGGTTGTTCTGCTGACTCCTGCTTCCAGCCTAAGAAGAGCGAAACCGAGCATCATCCAGGAGATGCCTGCCCTGGGCGCCCTTTCTGAAACGTGTCTGTGTAACAGAGCCATTTCAAGCGCAGGAGAACACTAGCTGCTTCTACTATTCGTTGTGTAGCTCGTGGACAAGTTGGGTTTTCCTGAGCCTTCCTCAGTTTGGGCATCGAACAATCCCATGTCCTGAGGATGCTCTCGGTCCTGGGCAAACTGCGATGGGGCCAAATGGAGCCTCTCCAAGCCTCGGTGTCCCCAGTGGAAATAACTTTACTTACTGTGGAGGGTTCTTGGGGTGGGGTGGAAGAGGAAAGCTCATCGGGGTGCTAAGCAGGGGGCGCTATGGCTATTCTTGTTATTTGCAGCCATCTCTTTGCAATCATCAGGAAACAATAACTAAGACAGGGCTCAGTACCCCAGAGGAGATGACTCCCAGACCCTGTTGGCCAGCCCTCGTCTTGATCCGGGGTTGATTCACTTGACTGTTGGCCTTCGCTGCACACAGGATAGCCAACGTCTGTGCTGTGCTCTGCTTGTGTTGCAGATCGAGCAGATGAGGATCGAATTGCTTCAGGAGAAAGCTGTGAGGCAAGACTTGGAATGTGACAAGATTTCCCTGGAGAGACAGGTGAGTCTGTGGACCCCTGAGCTCCTCCCCTCACCTGTGGCTTTGGCTGAGAGTCTGTGTCGGGCCGTGCAGCTCACCTGAGAGACAGAGGTGTTATTTCTAAGGCCTTCATGCAGTCAGCATCTGAGGAGGCAGGGGAATGGTCAAGGCTGCTTCATAGTTCCCAAAGGGCTGAAATGAAACCGGTGTCTTCACATGGAACACAGGCATTCCTAAGAAAACGCAATTGAATCTCTGCCTTTGCTTATTATTCATGCATGTTCCTCCCCGGATAAGATAGGTGAAGGCGCCCATTTCTCCTGCTCCTTCCCCACCCTCAGTGGGTTTGTAAAAGGACAAGCCCAAGCTGAGTGATAGGGCACCCACTGGGTTTCTTTGGAGTCTACTGACATGCCAAAGGTTCTGTGCAGGCTTACAGGGGAACAGGTTCTACATCTTCTCCAGCTCGCGAGAGGCTGAGCGCAAGGCCTTTCCCTGGAAACACCACTGGATGCCCCCAGGGTTCATGGGCCACGTGTCCACGTGTGGAAAGCAGCCTCTTGAAGCATCTACCAAACACCTGCCTCCCCCATGTCCCACCTGCGCAGAGTGCACAGGGCGCATGTCAGGGATGCCGCTCCTCATTCTTCCTGTCTGGTTCCAGAACAAGGACTTAAAGAGCCGGATCATCCACCTGGAAGGTTCCTACAGGTCCAGCAAAGAGGGGCTGGTGGCGCAGATGGAGACGAGGATCTCGGAGCTGGAGGACCGCCTGGAGAGCGAGGAGAGGTGAGCTCAGCCCACCAGTGCTGCAGAGGCCCCAGCAGGCAGTGCGAGCCCAGGGCACCACCCAACCACACTAGTGTCTTCAGTGCCTGGCTCTTCCCAGCCTCCTCAGCAGATGACGCACAACCTTGCTGTTATTGTTGCCATTTTATAGATGGAAAAACTGAGACTCTGACAAGTCAATGACTTAAGCAAGGCAGCCTGGCTGAAGATGGGTGTAAGTGGGCCTCTCCTCTAAGTCCACAGCTTTTCCGCTGTGCTTGCAGACGACCTTACAGGCTACTATATTTGAGCTAGCTTATCGTCCAGTGACAGCATCTGGCTTTAGAGGTGAGGGGCCTGACTCTGCCCGTGGCCCCATATAGTCTGACAGAGGCCAGGTGGCCGACTTAAACGGGAGGAATTCGGGATCAGATGACATTTCCAACCCTTCAGTTCTCTGTAAAACCAGAACCACCGACGTCATGCTGCTGAGTTCGTTGGCTTCACAGTTACGCCGGAGGGCAGAGCGGAAATTGCTCCCTCAGACTGCCAAGGCTGAACTCTCTTTTTTAAAAAAAATCATTTTATTAAGGGCTCGTACAACTCTGATCAACAATCCATACATACATCAATTTTGTCAAGCGCATTTGTACATATGTTGCCATCCTCATTCTCAAAACACCTGCTTTCTACTTGAGCCCTTGGTATCAGTTCCTCATTTTCCCCCTCCCTTCCTGCTGCCCCCTCCCCCCTGAACCCTTGATAATTTATAAATTATTATTATTTGTACAGAGGCAGACTGCCACACCTTTCTCCCACAGAGTGGTTGGTGGGCTCAACCCACTGACCTTTCGGTTAACCATGAAGTGCTTTAACCATGGCACCACCAGGGCCCCTTGGAGTCCCGGTAGCTGTTTCTTCCTCAGAGCACAGCCTGAGAAAGAAGGGCAGCGCTAGGTGAAACTTGCCCCTCCTGGGTTCTTATCACTAGATGAGAACAGAACTTTACATGTTCTGTGCTCAGTAGAACTTCTAGAAGGGTGGGCAGGAGCAGCCTGGAATTGACCCCAAATGCTTGCGGCCTGGCAGTTTGTGACCCTCAGGACTGGGAGGATTCAGGGCAATCCTAGTGCCAGCTCAGCCTCTCCTGGGCCCCTCTCTTCCCTTCTTGGATCCCCTGCTGTGGACAGGTCTAGGGAGCTGCCCGTCTGCCTTGCACGGGTGTGTGTTTCCCTGGCCCCAAGTCTCCTGGGCAGCGCTGGCCGGGGTGTCGCCTCCATGTGAGCCTGGGCTGGTCCTCCTGGGGGCTGGTAAGGAGCACGCCCACAGTTATGCTTCCTCTGCCCTCCCAGGGACCGGGCCAACCTCCAGCTCAGCAACCGGAGGCTGGAGCGGAAAGTGAAGGAGCTGGTGCTGCAGGTGGATGACGAGCACCTGTCCCTGACCGACCAGAAGGACCAGGTA